ATTTAGCTCGAAAAAAAATTACGTTTTAATAAAAAAGTATAATATATTAATATTTATATCTGAGAATATAGAGGAATAATAATAAACTTCTTAATATATACGGAATATATAACGATATAATCTTCTTTAGTACGAACTTCTATTAATATAAATATCTAATAGCTATCAATTAACGCCCTTAATTAGAAATAAAAATATCGATTTTTTTAGATATTATAATATTTATACTAACTAGAATATTTATCTTAAGCTTATTAATAATATAGATTTCTCTTAGCGATATTATAATTATAGCGTTTTTATTAGAGAAGTAAAGAGATATAATTATATATTTCGAAGTTTTATATTTATTAGATTCTAAATCTCTTATTATAATAGAGCTAGCTATATTTTTAATTAATAAATTTAAAAATATTTTATTTAGATAGGCTTAATTTATTAAAGTAACGAAGTAATCTATATTTAAGTAATTTTTTTTAATTTTCTTATTAAGTAGTAACTTAATAGTAGCTCTTATATAATAATAGTTATAAAAAGTATAGTTAATGTTAATCTCTGAAGTAGAGTTAGTCGATAATTTAATAACTTTTCTATTTCTCGCGATAGCGTTATTCGCGAAATTAGATTTTTTGAGATAAGATTCGCGAGATTCTCTAATAAAAGATTCCTCGATAGAAGAATATATCTAAATTATGAAAGAAATTTTTAAGCGTTTTTTAAATGAAAAGTCTAGATATAAGAAAGGCTTAAAATAATAATCTCGATCTAAATTATTAAGATAGTAATAAAGTTTATTATTAAAGAGGAAAATCTTATAGTAATAGCGATATTAATAGTTAATCGCTAGAATAAGAATAATTTTAACTACGTTAGCGAGATACTTTATAGCTTCTATAAAGTATTTATTTATTTTATCTTTCTAGCGAGATTAATAATAATTTAGTTCTCGTTAATATAGTAATTGCTAGACTCGCTTAGATTCTAATAAATATTCTTATTCTAAAATATAGATTTAGATTCGATATCGTTATAAGAAGATAATAACGATTCTTTCTTACTAGCTTAATATACTATCCCCTATAATTATAGAAATCTATTTTAATTACGATTAAAGAATTTGGCGTTTAGTCTATTTACTTATCTTCTAAATTCGCTATTTTTATAGCGAGGATTCTATTAACTCGATAATATTTAAGAATTAAACGAGTTAATATTTTCTTTTATAATTTATAGAGATTATCGAGAAGTCGATAAGATAGAATTTAATTATCTTTATTAATAAGACTAATTAGACTAATTAGTAAAGTTATTCTTATAATTATTATATCTTAGCGAGAATCCTTAATAGAATTACTACTAAGAGTATAAGAAAGAAGAAAAGAATAATTTTAAAAATTTACTTTAATAAAAGTTATTATTTATATACTAATCAGACTATTTAAATAGCGTTAACGCTTTTTTATCGATATGCTATAAAAATCATAATTTTACTATATTATTTTAAATTAAATACTCGATTTAATATTAATTTAATCTAGAAATTAATCTAGAATAATTAACGAAGTTGATTTAGAAATATCTTATTAAAATTCTAATAAAAGATTATTTTAAATTATAATTAGCTAATTATAGATAAAGATAAACTTAGCGATTTTCGTATATTTTAAAATACTTTAAATATAAGAACGTATTAATTTATTATCCTTGATATTATTTATAATATAGCGTTTAATTTAAAGATACTAAATTACTATAGAAGCTCTTTCTTTAAATTACTTTTATTAAAAATTCGAATTAAGCTTTTTAACGAGGCTTATTTTTAATAATATCTTTTTAAGCTTCGTAAGCTCGATAGAGTATTAAATTAAAGCCTTACCGCGGAAATACGTTAATAAAATTTCTTAAATCTTTTCGTAGCTCTTAATAGTAATAATATTCTTAAGTCGATCTATAAAGATATAGATATTTTTATAAAAAGTATATTAATCTATATTAGTAATAGATCTTTCTTCTTTAAAAGTAGAATTAAAGAAATTAATATTATTAGTCTTTAGATATAATAAGTTACCTTTATTTCTTATAGCGTTATTTTCTAGGGGGTTAGAATTATCTAGCGAACTTAATAGGCCGAGCTAAGAAGTAACGTTTTAAAGTAATCTTTTATAATATAATTTATTATTATTAAAAAGAATTTAAACTCTCTTTTAAGATTAATCTTTTTAAGAAGATATTTTAGATTCGATAGAGTAAGTATAAATAGTCTCTTTTTATAAATATAACTCTAATAATAAACCTAATACTTTCGAAGTTTAATTCGAAAGAGATAATTATAGAGAAAGTATATAAAGTAATATTAATAAATAAAGAATTCTTAAATCGATAAAATATTAAGGTATTTCTTTCGAAGATATTAAAAATATCTTAAAGAGTAGACTTATCGATAACTTAGTTATATAATTAGCTTAATACTTTTATAAACTATAATTATACTCTAATATATTTATTTCTCATAGAGATATCTCGATTAATTTAAGAAGATTTAAAGTTACTTCTAACGATTTAAGTAATTAGATAATAAATATTCTTATTAAAAAGACTTATAAAAGAGTAATTGCTTTCGATAAATTCTAAAAGTTAAAATATAAGAATTATTATATCTCTAGAAATAGAATTTATTATAGAGATTAAGGATTTTAAAGAAGTTATTATAAAGATTAATTAACGATAATATCGATAACTTATAAAAGTAGATAAAGAAGTAAGAATTAAATAAGTTAAGATTTAATTCTTTTAGAAAAAACTTTTTTTTAAGAGAGATTTCTTTCTTAAAAAGAAAGATATAGCGAGATTATTAATTTAAAAGTAACTTCGATTTAGAAGAAACTTCTTAGTAGATAGTAAAAGCTCGACGATTTTAATATAAAAGTAAGCTAACGATATTATCGAGTAAGTAATTAAAGAAGTTTTTAGAAAAGAAAGATTATAAGAAAAGAAAGTAGTTACTTCGAAAGTATATATAACGAAACTATTTTTTATATCGTAGCGAAAGACTTTTATTAAAGAATTATAATACTTTCTAGCTAATACTTATTAAAGATATAAAGAATAATAGACTTAATTATTAAATCTCTTAGTACTTATTAAGTAAAGAAATAATACTAATAAGACGATTTCGATATTACTATTATTTACTAAGAGTAATAATCTAATTAATATAATATAACTTAATTAATTATATTAATAAAGAGACTACTTTCTAAGTAAGTAATTCTTATTAAGCCTTGCTTAACGAAAGGCCTTACTTGACGAAAGCCCTTACTAGAAGAAAGACCTTTCATGGCAATCTCTAATAGCTTCCGCGCGATCATTAATCTAATTAAAGAGGCTATACGCCTAGTAGATGAGGCTATATATTTACTAAGTAGAGGCTATATATTTAATAGATAGAAGCTATACGCGTAATAGCTGCTATAATTTATTAAATAATATTCTATTATTAAAAGAAGACTTAAAATTATTATATTCGCTTTTATCGATCTAGACTCACTTAGATATAAGATTATATAGATATAAAATACGAGTTTTCTAAATCTTAGATACTATAATAATAATATATATTAATATTAAGGCCTATAAGTATAAAGCTACTATAATTATTAGAGAGTTATTATTACTAATTAAGAAGTAAGCTATAATTAAAAAAAAAAAATTTAAAAAATTTTAAAAAAAAATTTTTTTTTATTAAAAAAAAAATTTTTTTTTTTTATTAAAAAAAAAAAAACATTATAAAATACGCGCTATAATTTACACTCTTCAGAATTTAAATTAATTACCTTGGTGTGTAGCAATGATATAGGATAAGCGAATATTGGAAAATGGAAAATGGAAAAATGAAAAATGGATTTTCGGTGGTTGACCCCTGGTCCAAATGGGTTGCCGTAATAATGGCTACATGCCTAAATACGAGGCAGCACTTGACGGCATTGACACCTGTGAGGAACTACGACAACTTAATATCACTCCACAAGACAGTTGAAGGATTCGATAATGGCATTGCTAAGCAGGTTCTCAACAGCAACGTGTGGTAGAAATGATTGCAGAGCGTGTAGCGGACGCAATGAACCAAGGGGTCTCAGTAATCGTGCCACGCAATCAGCTCGTTCCTAGTGCGTGGCACGATCGTTTTGATCAACGACGATGGTTTTCAATGCTCTCCCATGGCCTCCCGTGTGGCCTCCCGTGTTGCCTCCGCCCAATGTCCATCCATACATACAACAAATCAAAAATTACACGATACCAACATCGCCCCGGCTATGGTGCTCGCCGTCCTGTCAAACCTCTCAGACATCCCGTTCTGGTATGCGTTGTACGTGATCGTAAATTCTCCCACAACGCCCATTTCCTTCACTCTCGTTCTCGGTGGACTGGTACCCCTCGGCGTTCTCTGTTCGAATGATATTCACCGGCTTGTAGTCTTCCAACCAAGAGCACATACTCTGACCTCGTGTATCAAGACATTCTCGTACTTCCGCCTCTAGATGCCACAGGGCGGAGTCCTGCGGCTTTCGACGAGGGAGAATGTCAAAAGCTGATACGGCATCTATGCCATCTTCTCTCTTCGCATCATGGTCTAGGTTTGACGAGGAGGATTAGTGCAGTGGATTTTGTAGTCAGTGAGTCTCGATCCTTTTTGTATGTTCAAGGATTGTTTGCTTGGGATTAAGTTAAGGTGTGGAGATGTTCGAATACGGTTGTCAGATTTGGGGTTGGCCATTAGGAAAAGAGACAAGCACTAGGGCAATACAAGCCTTGAATCCTATGGCCAAAGCTTCAAGGTACTCTTGAGGATCAAGAAGAGTGTGATGTGAGTGGTCTGCAGTGAGCATAGGCGGTTTGACGGCTTAAGATCTCCTTTGACCAATCTCCCTCGTGGAAACAGCCGGAGAAGCTCGTTATGATGAAAAATAGAATATCAACATCCCACACTCTCTGGGCCCCTCTCACCGTCTCTCAAGATTCGCGTGCAGTTTGTGCTGCCTCATAAACAAGCTCGAAACAGACGCCAGGACACTAAACCCACAGACAACAATAAAAACACCTTGAACAGCTTCCATGTAATCCTGCTGCACCAGTCCCCTCAACTCAGCCGGTAGCCGGCCAATCTCGTCGAAATCCTCTCTGATCTTATCAATGATCCCCTCGGCATCTGCCACGCTACCGATACTTCTATGCAACTTGACGCGCAGCAGATTCTGAAAAGCAGCGGATGCTATCGTGAGGCCGATGACAGAGCCAGTCGACCTGAAGGCAAATCCGGCTGATGTGACCACTGCTTGGTGTTCTTGCTCCACAGCACTGACGAGAGCGATGAGGGTGGTTACCAGGATGCCGCCGACCCCTAGGCCGAACACGGCTAGGTAGATGAAAGGATACACGGTTGGTGTATTCGCGTTCATCGTCACTGTGAGCGCGGTGGAAAGTACAAGTAGTGCGTGAGAACATTTGTCGAGGTAGTAGTAGTTGCCCGTCGCTTTCATGATGAGGCCTGCAGCAAATGCCCCAACCGCTGCGCCAGCGCTAAACGGAATGAATCGCAGGCCAGCTTCGGTGGGCGATTTGCCGAGAAGTTGTAGATAGACGGGCATGAAGTATGTGAGGCCGAAGTACGCCATGAATACGAACCAGTAGCTGAGACAGGCAGAGGCGACGGTACGGTTAAGGAGGATTCGGATCGGGATGATGGGTTCGAGTGCCCTGTTTTCTTCAACGTAGACAAAGATGGAGAGAAATACTATAGATAGTGGTAGCGCGGTCAAGACTAGAGGGTGAGTCCAGGCCAGGACATTGCCTCCCGTATTCAGACCCAGGAGGAAGAGCACCAGAGCACAGGTCAGAGTGAACGATCCCAGGTAGTCGACACGTTTCAGCGCTGACCTCTCGCTTATCTTGACAGGGACTTTGACGGTGAAGAACACCATCACGGCACCAACTATCACAAAGGGTACTTGCACCAAAAAGGCAACCCTCCATCCTGCTAACCCGTTGATCCAGCCACCCAACAAGCCTCCAATCCCAGACCCGGCACCGATGATGATGTTTCCGATACCTTGCAGCACGCCTCGTTTCCTCAGGGGCACCAGGTCACCAGCGACGAACATGCAGATCGTGACCGTTGCTCCGCCTCCTAAGCCAGCAATGGTGCGGCCTGTGATGAGGACCCATTCGCTCGGAGCCACGCCACAGAGCAGAGTTCCCAGACCGAAAACGAAATTGCAGACCAGAAGACCTTGGCGGCGGCCAAAGATGTCTGTGAGGCGGCCACTGAGGGGTTGAGTGACGGATTGGCCAATCAGGTAGGCTGAACCGATCCAAGAAAGCGTCTTGAGTGAGGAGAAGGAGCTTGAAATTGGAACCAAGAGGGTTGCAACGATTGTTGAATCTGTGTAAGTATCTGCTTGAGTCGTCTTTTCCACGAGAAAATGAAAGAATCCAAGTATCGATGAAAGAAAAAGGTATTGAAGTACTGACCAACAGCTATCAAAACCACACCAACCTAAGCAAATCAGCCTCAAGCTCCCAAATGGGTATTCAGGGCATGAGCTACCCATATACTGCCCATAATCAAAGCTAACCTGGCGTTGGATAGCTGCTCATGTCGAGAAGGCAAGGAATTTGAAACTCCCCATTCGCCATCATCATGAGGTTTGCCCTCGGCAGGCACGTTTTGAGCATCATTCACTTGTCTGAGAAGGGGACTTCGCTCGCTGGGCTTCGACAGCGACATTGATGAGTTGACGATGGCATGTTCAGAAATGGACGGGGATATCACGGGTTATCAAAAGAGCGAATGCTCGGAATTGGAGCTGTCATTGTAACGCTTAAGAGCTTCACCTAATCAAATGAATGTGTGTGTGGTGCGCTTGTGCGATCTCGCTTGGTCAGATTACCGTGCATATTACACCATCAGCTACTCGTGGTTAGGCTCGACTTTGGCGCCCCAACGAATTTGCCGCTCGTTTCCATGACGCATGATTAGCACTTAACGACAAGATATTCATGGCGGTAATGACGACGTGACTCGAAAGCTTGAACATTGGGATCGGCGGCGTAGCAAGTTGTATCAGTCTGTAAGCGTGAAAATCCTGGCCTGGGTAGATACTTGTACACTTTTGCTGAACATCCTCCAAGTCTTTCAGCTTCTCACTCACCTACATGAAGAGGCGGGATTTCCAACAGCCCGTAGGGTCTATGTAAGTTAGTGGGTTAAGGTGGGAGCCCATCAATGGTAGCAGTGATGACGTATTGATACTCCGTAGAGCGGTTCCACCTATGGATGCAGGCCTAGATGTTCGCGCTTTGTCAGCCAATGAGGGTTGGAATGACCTTTCGAATAGAGCTGATACCCGCCCTGAGATTTGAACCAGTTCTGTAAACCGGACCACATGAGCGGCGAGCTGGGCCCCATTGTTTCGCCTCATGGGCTTTCCCGCCTATGTCAAGGGATCTCATACACATACATTCCGTTTCGATACATGTACACTACCTCAGTAATCCCTCGCACCCTTGACCGTTGAAGAAGTCGGACCCGTGTCCTATAGGACTATCTCAAAACACAGCAACTTTGATATGCACTGAATTCATAGAATCTCATACATAATAGAAAACCCTTTTTGATGCATGTACATATCCTTAGCAATCCCTCGCACCCGTGACTATTGGAACAATCGGACCCGTTTCTGCAGAGTGGTCTTAGAACACGGCAACTTTGATCTGCACTGCAGCCTTTGAAATTCAAGTACTGGGACCCGGTTTCTGCAGAACCAATTCAAGAAAATGCAGCATCAAAATGCATCAAAAAATGGCCTCATACCTTTACGAGTGTCCAAAGGCTAGTGCCTTAAAGAAGTTCCTCGCCAGAAAAAATGTTTGATATGGTAACCGATCTGATGGGAATGATCCCAATGTTTCTCCCCCGGGTGCTCACACGCCTGTGAATTGGATGTCCGAACGGGTGACATACCCAAACTAGTCTTCCGTTCTCTCCAGAGTCAAAGATTTGTCTTGTTCGATCTCACCACGGGCCACACGCTTGTACGAACCGAGAACCGGCCAGGATCCGGTACCTGCAGCTGGCTTGTGTGGCAAACTGCGGCGGTGAGAGATGAGCAAAATCAGGCGCCTAAGCTTGGCGGAGACACAGTCTCACGTACAATGGTATCGTTGGGTTGACAGCTTCCAAAGATTTCACTGTGTCGAGCGTCTCTGTGTTACGTCGCCCGGTGACATGGGAAGAAGAACCAAGTAGATTGAGCAGGCGGCTCGACTAAGACTGGTATGGGTGTTGAGATTACTTCCCGGACTCGCTACTGTCTTGCGATCAATGTGTACTCAGTCTGGAGCTTGAAGTGAGATGCAAGTGACTGTCAAATATCCCTGGGATCGCATGCTTACCATGATCCGCGTATCCTGCGAAAGAATTGGAGATGCATGAAATTGGCAATGACGGATCTATCTAGTTACGTCCCCGTGCCGTTCTTGTCTTTTTCGACCATGAGGCTTTTCCACCTAAAGTAGAAGTCAAACGCGCCCGACCCATTTCTTACCGGCCCTACCCAGCGATATTCACGCTGCTTGGCGAAGTGCGCCACATTACACAGCCCAAGTCTAGCCAGCTTCTCCCAGTCCCATACGCTGAAGCCAAGACGGCGAAACGGCTCGAAGTCAGCACGCTGAAACGGCTCGAAGCGGGAACGATGAAGTGTCCTATCGAATGATTGGTGAATTGATTGAAACACGCTTACTCCTGGGCTGCTGCGACTGAGATGCATTGTAGTTTGGCGCCATTTGGTTGACACGTAGTCGTGGTAGGGAATAGGTTTCGGTACAGTCACAAATTTCGGCTCAAGGTCGGGAAGCCTAGAGAAGTGCGGTGGGCGAGCTGATAGCGTTGTTCAGGATTCAAAGATCAAGGTATACTGTGCTAATAGATAGCGAAGGCCGAGAACTAGGAAAGAACTTTTGGATTTAGATCATCCTCTACCCCTCATGTTGAGAAGTTGTCATTCACTGAACATCCGTGGTGTCTTTGAAACTGCCTACTAGGCACATTTCGCGACTAAGGTTTCCTGCATTTCACCAAGACACCCCAACAGGTTGTCGTCATCGGCAATGGCAGGACAGGGGAGAGATCCTTGGGGGGAGGTGTCACCTGCTTGTCGATGAAAACCAATCGGACAGTTCCCGTAACGGTAGGGATTCACAGGATCCAAGAATGCTCAACTAGCTCCATGAAACGCTGCTGCAGGTTCCCGCTGAAAAGGCCAGGTAAGAGTACCTTTTAAATTGCCTTCCCCAGCGTACTTCTTCATGCAGAGTGCCTTTCAAAGACATGCAGTAACTAAGGCTGGTATAGTCTTCCAGAAATGTGGAGGGCCCTCGAGCGAAGATGTCACTCGCTTGCCGAACAACGCGAAGCGAGAACTCTCGTAGTATCATGGGTTCACAAGACTCAATACCTATGAATTAGCTTCATGAAACGCTCCTGTAGATTACTGGTGGCAAGGCCAGGTACGTTAAGCTGAACATTCCCGCGGCTCCTTCATTCGGAGATTGCCTTCTAGACACAGGCCATAATCGACACTTACCTCATTTCCCCAAGATGCTCGAACACATTGCTGTGACTGGATATGCCACGAAAAGGCGAAAAATTCTCAAGTGGAGATGTCACTGCCCTGTCGAACAAAACCAATAAGAATCATCGGAGAGCTCCCGTGTCCTGAGGATTCGTGCAATACAAAAACACCCATATACTTCCATGGAAAGCTCATGCATACTCCTGCTACAACCGAGACTGAAACGGGGAAATGCTCATCACGAGCCAAGGTACCTCTCGGTTAGCCCTCCGGGTTATTGTTAACAATCTCCCATGAAGTCAGACAGTGCCCGTCGTCTCTCTCAAGTATCTGTATCTAGTGCTGTCTTGTTCTAGCTCCTGCAATTTGAAAGCCTATTCGTTCCTCGTTTGAGATTTACCTTCCAAAAGTATCGAATCATTGTGGGACTGTCCTTTCCGCAAGTTCTCCCAAAAGGTTATTCAATCACCACGGAATTATCCTTGTCATCGGGGTGCAACTGTCGTGATGGCTCCACTAATCACGGGCTCATGGGTGGTGAAGCTTGCGACCATCTGTGTAGCGACTTTAGCTTCTCTACCATTTGGGACAAGCATATTTGCACAGAATTGGAGCTCACTACCAACTTGACCAAGCCTCGCGACGGTGGGTTGGACCCCGATCCTGAACCTTCTCCTGAGTCCACACCTTCGCCTACATCATGCTCAGAGTCAACCTCTGGGTATCATGCACATCAATGAGCCAATAACAAGCTCATCTCTTGTCATAGGATGCGACGTCACAGCGAGCGCTACGACTACTGGGGCTGAATCTTGCTCAGACGCAGACGTCATCGAGGATCAAGGCGAAGATGGTGGCCCAGCCCCAGCCGCAGAGTCTACCAGCTCGGCTAGCGCCTCGGCTACCATCACTCCTCCTCCAAACACACCCACTCCGGCTCCGACCTCAACGCCATCTTGCTACCTCCAGGATGAGGATCCCGATCTAGGTATCAATTCCGCTTATTGCGTATGCGAAGGAAGCTTAAACTACCTCGAACCTTCATCCACAGGCAGTTGTGCATTTACGGCGCTGCCTTCACGGACCATTAATCCAACAATATCGCCTAGCGTAGTCACCAGCAATTATCAAATCTGCACAGTCGTCGACGTCAACAACGGCGAGTGCACCACGATGCCCAACTGCGTCCCAACAACGTCATCAACGGCTCCATCACCGCCTGCTTCCCCGAAGCCGCCGCCTGCACCACCTCAGTACTCAACATTGGCTACTTCGATGAATGTGAGCCTGACGGCGGTTTAGGAGAGGAAGGAGGAGCATCATGCGGGAGCTACTGGACAGTCTTCACCGACCCTCAAGGAGTAACCTACAATCCTTGCAACGACAAAGCCATCTGGGACGACACAAAGGCCTTTGACGGTAATGAGATTAAGTATTCCGTGTCAGAAGGCCCATTCAATGGTGGCCGCTTGACCGGCTGCGTGTACAGTTAGCTTTCATCTACGGATGTTGGGAGCATGGCGTGTGGCGGAGTGGTTGGGTCCTGCGTGAAGGATACGAGCGGGAGACAAAGCTGTGATGGAGGAGACGATACATGGGCGCCTGTGTCGATCTGCACCTTCACATAAGGGCTAGGTAAGCGGAAATGATTCGGTGGTGTCTTCAGAGCTTCTATTCTTGAGGTTTGTTTTTTTAGACACTTAGATATTCATAGACAAGCAAGAGCCTATTAGAGATCCAAGAGGTCAGATCCTGCTCCTGTACATAAAAATTAGGCAATCCAATTTCGTGCAATGAGGGGATCGAGTGCTAGCATCCTGACTCAACCAGTGCAATTCCAGCAGGATTGACCGTCTTTTAGTTGATGGGCACCAGCTATATATGCACTACTACGTGTTCTATCTACACGTGACGAGCTCGATAAGGCTCTTGGCGAGCTCGCAGGAAAGGCAACTCGGTGCGAGTTGGCCCAAAGATTGAGACACGGTAGTAGTTGAATGGCTATAGGTAGGCAGGTAGGTAGAGTGACCATGTAGGAAGAACATAAGGAATTAATATGCAGGTAGGTATGGACCGCTTCATGTACATAAAATCGCCTGGAGAACTCCCCTTGATATCACCTCATTTGGGAGGCAAAAGACTAATATTCGGGTCGGACCGTAGCCAAGTACGAAATGAATGTAATAACACCAACTACCAAACTACCGAAGCGAAATTACCTAGAGTATTACCAACTTCCAGCAAACATTACACTAGTCGATTTATGGATAGTCCGTCGTCGCTACCCTATCATATGCAGGAACCGGATCAACGAGACAGGACGTTCTGCGCATACTGGTGCATAGAGCCGATAGCCGAGCCTACGTGCTTCCCGGTAGCCATGTTGACACTTCTTATTAATGCGGTCTTTCTGATTATGTACCTATCTGAGCAAGGGGTAAACAAATACCTAAGTGGGTAGCTGTTCGCCCCGAGTTCTCTTTCCCAAAGTCGTGTTGGATTCAACATCCTCTAAGGCAAATACTAAAGAGTCGACCCATCATGTGGGAATGTGACACATGCACCCGTACCTTCAACAGCCTGAAGGCATCCGAGCAGCATATGAACGCCCTTGGGCACTGGGAACATTACTGTACGCCATGCCGGCGGATGTTCGATAACGGGAACAATCTCCGCATGGTATTCCTTCCCTTATCCCTCTATTCTCTATCCTTCCTTTATATCATCCTAGCTGACAAAAAGTCCTCCCAGCACCTCAATTCCCGCACCCATCGCGGCGCCAATGTCTCGTGCCCCTTCTGCCAACGAGCCTTCACTTCCGCCAGTGGCGTCTCACATCACCTCGAAGCCGGCTCTTGCCCAAACGCACGCTGCGTCAACCGTGAGAGTATCTTCCATACCCTGCGACAGCGCGATCGAAACGGCATCATTACGAACAACCTCTTGGAATGGCACGGGGAGACCTGGTCTACTGAAAACGCCTGGAACGGCCACACATACCAGTGCTACCTTTGCCGCCGCGGATTCACTGCTACGGGCGACCTCGATCGTCATCTGAAGAGCCCTGCGCATATGCAAGAGATATACCATTGTCCGAATAAGGTGCGATGCGGGTCGCAGTTCAAGACCTTGGCTGGCATGTTCAATCACTTGGAGAGTGAGAGTTGCGGATTCATCAAGTTCAGTGGCGTGCAGAGCAACGTAGGAGGCATTTTAGCGGGGAATCAGAGGATGATTGGCTTTTCCTAGAGCTTGTTTGAAGAGTGATGAGGGGGTACTAACATTTTTGCAAGCATCTCGTTTGACAGTCGAAAGATGCGACCAAACTGGCTGTTGAAAATATTGAACGGGAAGCGGAAAAGGAGGTTGTCCTATTTCGTCCTAAGACCAAAGGGGAGATTGCGAGATTGAAGGATGATACCAATGTGAAGGAGAAAGGGAGTGGATTCTGTTGGAAATTGCTGCAGCACCATAGTGTGTTGTAGCTACCCCTCACGGTGGCAATGACAATATGGCACTAGCGTGGCTTCACATGGTATATAAGTAACCTACATACCACTCCATAGTCAATCAATCCTTCAACCTCTCTTCAAATTCAATGGATTCAAAGCTGGATTATCAACATGACGCCACAACAGACGAAGCAGACGAAGAAGGGAGTCCATTCGCAGCGGCTGGGTGGACACCTGAAATGGAGGCTCCAATGTATAACATTTGGACTAATACATCTTTCGATACTCCAGCCTGAGTCCAGCGCCTTAGACCGCTCTGCCAACCTTGCATTCTTGTTGGTGGGCTCCTATATAGTCACTATAAGTAGGACATTCGAGCAATTGGGCAATACTCGGAACGCGGACACAGGGCACTCCATGTCCAGCGATACTGGCTTGAGACTAGTACCGCGAGGACTTCGTGATAACAGACGATTACAGGTGACAATGGTATAGAGGGGTCGATATATAGACCTGGATTACCAAGCTCTTCGAACTAAATCGCAAGATAGTCGACAAGCCGTCATACCCATAAGGAAAGGGGTTTTCATATGGGCACGACATACCGAGCGTCGACCTCGACCTTGTTGCACGTCGACGCGGTTCAGTCGCATCACCCTTCAATTGCCGGCTCGATGTGTCCGCACTGACTCTCATTGCTGTTGGTCCTTGCAAGAGGGTGTATCAAGAGGTATTTTAGAGCAAATGTCTTCCACAAAATCCAGCCAGCCACCGGCAGCGCCAGGATCCCACTCCCTTGGATGCGCCCACTCTCCCAGCGGCCCATATGAACAAGAAAAGGCCACAGACGACAATCCCTCTCTCGAACTATTCCCCAATTTATCTCCGCCATCGTTCCAGTACAATGCCTCCCTCCACCCTCTCGATACCACGTCCCCATCACCTCCAACAATAACATCACCCCACGTCGCGACTCCGCAGAGTGCAGGCCTACGACTACAAACGGAGCACCTGAGTGAGAGGAAGCGCGAAGAGTCAGCGTCCTCCGTGAGCAGCAATCCTATCTCCGAGACCTCACAAACCGTCTTCAATGCTGGTCTACCTGTCCGCAGTTCTAGCATTCGATCCGCCTTCTCCTCGAGGCACAGGGCCGATTCGCTCACACCTAGCTCTGCGCTATCGTCGCCAGGAGTGGGGCCACTGGCCGATATGACTCCATTGCCTTCGCCCATTTCGGGATGGGGATCTCCAGGCTATGGGAGAAGGTCAATAGACGAGGAAATGGGCGACGCTACACCGATTGCAATAACGGCCGAGGAAGACGGTGAAGTATTGCCAGAGCCTATGGACTTTTCGCGAGCGTCGTCTAAAAAGCGAAAGATACCTCTCGTGGCAAGAGACATGACCAGTGAACAAGCGCAGATCTACAATGCGAATGCAGCCGCCTATGCGAAGAATCGAAGCGTCAGCGAGTATGTGCCGGAGGGAATGCAGATACCGAGGTCTCGGAATATCGTTGTATCAACTTCTGGCGGTCCCCCCGTCACTACCTCACTCTCTCCCCTCGACGATCACATGCACCGCGAGCAATATCTGGCAATCCAACGAGGCCTGGCTATATCTATACCGAAACCGCCAACCCCACCGGACAGTAACCGGGGAGCCGAGAGTGCTGATCATGAATTTCCACCATTAAGTCCAAAACTATCCCAAGGCCCACTGCCACTACTGTACGAGGCTTACATGGTTCGTGGAGGCAAGTTGAGAAGGTGGAGAGGACTGCGCCAGCTTGGGAAGGGAACTTTTAGCACAGTGATGCTTGCCACTAGCGAGGGCATGAATAAGTCAATCACGTTGGAGGAAAACCAAGTCAGACCCAAGTCTTTAGTAGCTGTCAAAATCTGTGAGCAAGGGCCAGCCGGAGGTGCAGACGAGAAAAAGATGAAGATCTCGATTAAACGTGAATTGGAAATCATGAAGTCAATACATCATCCATCATTAGTACACCTCAAAGCCGTCAAAATGTGTGAACAGCAAACCTTCCTCATCCTTGGTTTCTGCGCCGGTGGAGATCTTTTTGAACTGGCAAGCCTGAAGCTAGAAATCCTGATGCCGAGCCTAATCCGCCGCATGTTCTCGGAACTGGTTGCGGCTGTGCGGTATCTGCATTTGCAATATATTGTACACCGCGACATCAAGCTCGAAAGTATATATCCAAAGCGCACCAAAGAGGTGTATCCGTACGCTAACGCGATCACCTAGACGTCCTTGTCAATATCCCTACCCCCGCCCTCACCACCACAACTGACAATTGGCAAACCTACCCGGCCCCAATCGTCACCCTCACTGACCTCGGCCTAGGCCGATGGATCCCGCGCCCCCCAGAATCACCTCTCCTCGACACCCGATGCGGCAGCGAAGACTACGCCGCTCCCGAAGTGTTAATCGGTCAAGAATACGATGGCCGTGCTACGGATGCTTGGGCCCTTGGCGTTCTACTGTACGCTATTATGGAAGGAAGGTTACCGTTCGACCCTATCCCCGGAGCCAGGAGGAAGAGCCCAACGAGTCACAGGATCGCGAGATGTGAGTGGCAGTGGGTAAGATACGCGGATGCGGAAGGGGAGTGGGATGGGATGAAAGGGAAGGAGCTGGAGGGCGCGAGGGATGTTGTGGAGGGCCTTTTGGCGAGGGCGAGGAGTCGCTGGACTTTGGAGAAGGTGCAGGAGAAGGAGTGGGTCAAGGGTGGGGTGCAGGTTCCAGGGGGCCTGAGGATGGAAGAGGAGGACGAGAGCTACGAGTAGGGTGGGAACTTTTGATGCGTCGTTCGATGATACCATATATGACTTTTACGCCGCTGTACGAGTACCCGCAGGGAGTTTTGGGATATCTTCGAACGGGATTTTTGGGCCAAGAGCTTCTATATTGCTGGACTTGGGATAGATCTAGTGACGTTCCATTTTTTTTCGATGCTCTTTCGGCGTTCACCAATCAAAAAGCGGGATCTTTAAGCGGCCCTGTGTTTTGTTATATTTTGATATAAGGATTTCGATCCCAAAAAGTCTGTAGAAGAACGAAATCTGTGTTGTAAACGGGGTTACTCTATTCAACGATATCGCTATTGATACCGTTTGAGCAAAACATTGCAAAAGCCTTCGACTACGTTCCGAACTCTCAAGAAATGAATCAAGATTCATCGAGCTGGGCACCAGCGTCATGACAATCTTTCTCCGTTGGCGGCCAGCGCCTTGCAAAACATCTTCATGCATATTTACCACCAGCCATCACTCGAATCCCACTCCGACCACGTATCATCCGAATTCGGCAAATAGGAGTCCAAGAATTCATCCAGGCTCGATTTATCACTCGAACACGGCCCCATGAAATACGCCTCGATGCCCTCCTTGAGCTCGGGGCAATACTCCTCAGAACCCACTTCGAAATCCAAGCCTTCGTCCAGCCCCTCCAAACGTCCTAACACCACCATCGAGTCTAGCGTCAAGATCTTGCGCATCTTGTTGAACGCGGAGAACCAGTCTCCATCCAACAAACCAATGCTGGAGAGGTAGAGGGACTTGAGGGTGCTGGCGTGTCGGGAGCAGAAGGAGACGAGGTCGTCTTCGCTGGTGGCGATCATTTTGAGTTCGAAGGTCTTGAGGGAGGGCCAGTGGTGCTCGCCGACTACGTACTTGAGATGGGTAGGCCAGGTGGGTTCGTTAAATTGGAAGCCGATTCGTAGGTGTTCGAGGTTGGGCGCTGCGGTGACGAAATCCCGGAGTCGTCCTGCTTCGAGATATGAGGCACATGATTCAATCTCGAGCTCTTCAAGTGAATAATCATCATCTTGTCCAAGGCCCGTAGCGAATTCGAGTCTCAGATTCTTGAGGTTCGACACACTGTTCCTCATGCGGGCAAAAGTCTCGGTGTCTTGCTTGAGGATCCGCCAACTGACTACCCCACAGTGCAGGGCTTTCACTTTCAATCCGGCCTGATAGGCTCCAAGCAAAAGGGAACGCATTTGCCGGAGGCCCAAAGGTTCCAACTTGGTGTCTCGAGGGTTGTCAATTTCGTAGTAAGTGCAGAAGGCTGGCTCGAACGTCTTTCTCAGCCTTGAGGTACGAATCCGAGCGCAGCACTGAGTAGACATTGTGAGTTCTTTCACATGGGGGAAATGTTTCATAGCCTCTACCACTTCCTTCTCTTGCACAGCTGCTTCTTCAGAACCCTGTTGAAAGTAGGTGAAGTCGCAGTAATGTTCAAAGGCATGGTCCATCTGCTCTTCGGTATAGTGATGGCGAGGTGCTGCGCTCATTTTGCTAGCCTCACGATTGAAGGTCCGCACGCTTCTATCAGAGGCGTGGGGGCATGGATGGCGCATGTGCAGTTCTTCGACTTGTGCGATGTATTGTGGACCAGTAACGATGTGCTCCCAGCGTTTACGGAGGAGTAAGCCAAGTTTGTCGGCTTCGAAGAAGAAAGAAGTGACACATTTGCTGGCTATCGGGTGCTCAGCAAGTGTCTTGAGCTGTTCGAAGCTGTCTTTTGCGAGAATTAGGTGGACTTCTGGAACCATGTACTGTAGACCAATAGGAGCGGCGAGGCGGGAGACGAGACGGAGGTTGGCGATTTCTGTCGGCTTAAGGTAGACACATATCATGTGTACGAGTTCAGCAGGGAGCTTATCGATGGGAAAGTCGATGGATTTTGGGGCTGATGGTAGAGCAGGTTTGCGGACAGCTTTAGGGCGCCGCAAATCGGTTGCTGCATGTCGTGTATTGTTTTTCGCCATGATTTTGAGTGAAGAGTCTGCCAGGAGATTCGAAGATGGATGTGAGACTATCAAACATAAATAGCTGTTCCAATGTGGGGGAAGTCTAGCATATTTGGCGCGTCGCGCGCGTATCCGTAGCGGCTTGGCAAGACTGCATAAATGCATGAGGAATACATAATACTAAACGTTGCCCTTACTCACTCAGAACTCACACTCACACGGGCGTGGTCACTTTAGCGAGTGAGATGATAACACTCTTCACTTACTGGACCCACACCTAAGTCGCTCGGCCTGATTTAGGTGGTCCAGCGATGATCATGAAGATAGGGTTCAAAGGGAAGGGACGCATTTTCCTTCTCTACGAATCTTGCTCTGTGTAATCAGACTCGCACTCTTCATTCTAAGCTCTTCTCCTTGCTCTATCAAAATATAAATCGGAAATGAAAATTCACATTGATTGACTGCTGCCATTTTCTCTACATCGACCCGTCGTTCATATGAGCTGCAACGTCTCTTCGAATTAGCGTACTCGGTCGTTCGAAGACTTGTCGGGAGATAGGACTAGAGAGGGGGGATATGCATAGGGATATAGAGAAAAATACAATGCACATATCAGAATGGGCTAGACATGGAATTATGTTCCTCATCTACTTATTGCATCCGTTGCCTTTCTCCCTACCTTCACGCACACAAGCCGAGATCATGCCAATAGAACGCTCCTATCTCTTCTTCTATCAAGTCACTTTGCCTATCCACTGGGTCTTCCACCACCCACCCTGTCGTTGCCGCTGCTTCTCGAGCTCCAACCAAAGTCGAAAAGGGTAGGGAATCGACGCCAACATCCTCCTCAACCTCTTTCTGACAAGTCCACTTGTAGATGTAATCGTCCTGTAGCTGAGGCGAGACGAAAGAGTAGGAGGCGATGTTGGAAGTCCTTGAACATTCCCTGCCAACATGGCCTTGAATCAACGAAGGAAGGGTCAGATACGGCCACTGCAATGTGCTAGGATTGACGTTGAGAAGAGGCTGGCTCCGCCAACACTGGTCGGACCAACATCTGCCGGACCAACATTTGCCGGACCAATACTTGTTGTCAGCAATGCTAAGCCTCAGATTAGGTAGATCTTCATGCGGACGAGAAGCAAGGACGAGAATGCTGAGGTTGTCCAAGCGCGGTCGCAGTTGACGGAGCACACTCGCTGTGGCACTGTCGGCTGGGAAGTCCTGGATGCGCCCATTGCCGGTCAAAAGGTGGATAATGAGGGTGCGAAGCCGCGGGCAATGCCGCGCAAATGCCGTGATTTGTTTGGAAAGCACCGCGTCGGTATTTCCAGAGCTAACTACCTCCAAATCCATGCTCAGATTCACCATGAGATGTAAGTTGTCGCTGAAAGGAGGCATGGCCCCGTCCCGTACAGGCGTGTCGCTGTCCGCCGGAAACTCAGGATTGGAAATTTTGATCTTAGAGAGCCCTCCAGTAGTCGATGAACAATGGAAGGTCTGGCTGGCATAGAAGATAGGAAGTGCTTCCTGGTAAACTGCTCGGCAGGTGAACAAAATGCTGCTGTCGAACGTGTGTGTAAGCCTCTTGATCACCTTGTCGTCATCGATACCGGCTCGGCGGCGGAGAAGGTACGTGGCTGGAGTTTGGAAAAGGTGTTTGTAGACTATGAGACGGAGCTCGGGCGCGATGGTCGTAAAAGTAGACCCTTGTGGTTTGAGAAGGGAGGTGCGAGTAAAAAGGTCTTTGCCTGGAGAAGATGAAGCAATGAATTGCTCTTGGATTGGTGTGGAATTGGTCACTGGTTGCTCTTGATTCGAATTGGAAGAGTCATGGGTTTGCTCTTTCACTTGAAATAGTCTTCCCGCACAATGCTCTTCGGTTGGCTGGGATGAGCCTTCCGACTGACTTATAGAAGCCATGATCAAGGTAATGAGGTTGGGGAGATTAGAGGCAAGGTAGGGTATAGGACATTATCAATAGGCTTGATCGGTCCTAGACGTGGTTGAATGAATGAAATGGAGGTGGTTGATTTGTGTAGTTATCTAAATTGCTAAACGCTTGAAATAGTCGCGAGTGACGCCGATTTGACGCTATGTCTAATCGGGCCTGTGTTGGCCATGTCTTAACAATTCCCTTTCAACTCTGCGGATAGTACTATCGATTAGGCCCTAGCAGAACGAAAGGGGCACAGGTGGACTTTGGGTATGCAAAGCCTCCCCCCTATTCTATAACACTGCCTCAAGCTAATCAGAGATACTAGCGATGAAGAGTAGTGGACTTGGTGAGGGGAGAGAGCACGTTTTGCACGGCCTTATCACCGAAATAGACATTTTTGTAATACAAATGCAGTGGTTGACACAATAGCAGAGCTGACGGGAGACCCATTATCAGTGTCACTAGTTGCTGTCGGGGAAAGCCTGGCCATCCGTGTGACGGATTGTGCTTTCTTGCATCATATGTGAGTGTTCTATACACAGTTTTGAAACGCTATTTGGTTGACTAGCCGATCTCCATGCAATTTTTGTTTAATCAGCTCGCAATCTGAGCGTGCTCCATGTAAACAGGCTGGTGAAACACAGATGCACTCCTGAGAACATGGTGACGATGGCAAATTCAATATCTCTCGCGTGTATCTGTGGCCAGGAAGGACGGTCGGGCGGCTCGAACGCATGTTAGAGTCCAGCTAGCATCAGATCCCTATAATTCCGAGCCCCCCCTAGGACCGGTTTTATCAACTCTCTCTCCCCCAATACGAACGTGCGGTCCAATGCAAAAAGACAAGATGATTGCCAGTCGCTGTGGTACAAGATCACTAAGGTCCTTGGAAGATGTTTAATGCCTACCACTTGTAGCAATTAAAGCGAGCCAAAGTGAACCAGATGATCCATATCCTTACTGGTCAGCATTTTATGGGGTTTCTTACCATCCGATCGACCCACGAGCCAATAAATACAAGCAAGATTAGTGAACGGCAAGGAGCTCGGGGCTTGGGCCTGGCCCGAGAATTCAAGTCGCTGAACCTCCTTCAGTACTGTGCAACATAAATTTGCACCTGACAGCTTCTTCACACGGTCCGGTCGTTGTATAACCCAAAGCCAAGTCGAATTACGAGATTGCCCACCGTGGGTCAGCATCGGGCTCTTTCTCAGCGATGTCATGCCTTACCATTATATTTTATGTTTGTAGACTAGATATAGTTGTCTTGCTATCCCTGATCTGCGGCCGAGCATTCAAGATCTCGGTAGGTCTCAGCTAACAAGGACTCAATCCGAGACACTGAGGGTGAGTTATCGCCAGTACCACCAGCGTCTATAGTACTCACCTTCCCGACTTCATGTTACATACTCTTCATATGTTTCCACCAAATCTCCGTCTGATGCAGCTCCAAACCTAAAGGGTCCTTCTCTGATCAAATGTATATTATCCTTGAACACCTTTGTCTCCCTAAAAGCCATATTCGGCCTCCACGCTCTCCCATCCCAGCACGATCATATGCGCCTTCCCTTTCGGTTTCCCTCAGATTCCACATCCTCAATGATTCGCCCTTCTGATACCCCTTAAACTTCTTCAGTCTCTCCGAAATCGCTTTAAGAAGCTAATCGTCTTTACGTCGAAACAGGAGCCTTAGATGGTTGTCGGTTTGAACGAGAATTTACTGAGTTTTCTTCCTCGAGTACTTTCTACTCGAGACCTTTCCGAGATGATCGTCACCCCATTCTGGTTGAATATCACAAAAGTTTGTTAAAATCAAAAGATCTGAGCGCTTACAGCTGTCCTTTCTTATGTCATTTGTACTATATTTTGTGGGACTCCGGGACAAGTTCCACATTGTTTCGCAAAAGCTCGTGATGACCTGTTGTTTTTCTGTGGCACCAAGCCTGAATTGTAGAATTGTCAACAACATCCTTGAGATTTCCACCCTCTATGCATGACTTCTGCTACATTCTCTTACAAGGCTACCATTTCCGCAGAAATGAAACCACCGTGAGCAGATCCATGGTAGGCGATCCTTGATTCCAGACATCATGCAGGGTCCCGATAGCCTCGCTCCAAAAGAGCCAATCGCACCGCAGGCAGGGTTTGTTACCGCCCAATGCGAGGTACATTATGAGACATCGCTTGGCGTCCTTGAGTCACCTTAGTAAGGGAGCAGATGAGTCACTTCCATAATCTCCAACCTCGTCAGATGTGAACACCTTGCACTCGCTCCATCAACAGCAACTTGGAAATTGGGTTTCTTCTCTAACATGGAATACCTGGAAAGGCAGAAGAGTTTTGTTGGAAATAATGCTGCAGCACCATAATGTGTTGTAGCTACTCCTCATGGTAGCAACCAGGTGGCAAATCAGCATGAGCTTCACATGGTATATAAGTAGCCTACATACCACTCCATAGCTAATCAATCCTTCAACCTCTCTTCAATTCCAATAAGTTTCGAGGCCACTGTCCGACGTCTCAACTCGGACTTCCCGAAGCAGATCAGCGGAAGACCTCTGTTTGATCGTGGGGAAGAATGCCGAAAGAGCATTGAGCAAGCATGGACGCTTGTGAAAGTTTTCCCGGAACATAGCAAAGATCTTCTCCCACTACAGACTCTGCCCGAGCTTGGCGAACTGCTCAAGCATTGTGTTTGGTAGGTTATCTAGCAAGTCAGGTCGCATACGACTACTGAAGGAACCCAGGTACTTGTGAAAGGTTGGCAGACTCGATGGTTCTCTGGAGCTCTTGGACATTGCCTACCGAACAGTTTCCGACAAAGGATCCGCAACTTTGTCGTAATTGAGAGACGAAGTCCACGATAATACGATTCCTAAGCTTAAGACACAGGAAATTCTCCTTGTGGAATCTCTAACTTGACGATTTGCGAAAATGTCAACATTTGGGGGGCGAGTGCCAGAAGTGCTTACTTATATTTGTCTAGCTCAAAAGAATGATACCACAGACCGCGATGGTGAACCCATATTCTCTGTTTCATCAAGGAGCTGTTGCCTACAAAGTGTAGTCTATGGCAGGGAAAAGGCCCATACATCTCTACCAACTATTTTGCCACACCTTTGAACAATGACCACTGAAGGCTCAATTGTCACCTGCGGATCCCACAATTCAGGCATCGGCTCTTCGGTTCATGGTGTTTCTGACTCGACAACCTAAGGAAAGGTGAGACTTCGGGGCCGAGCTCCCGAAGTGCTTGCTCATATTCGTGCTACTTGGGTTAATAATGCCATAAATCACGCTGACGAATCCATAATCTCAAATCTATCAAACTGCTATTGACTTCAAAATGTAAATTACGGCAGGGAAAAGGCCCATGCATCTCTATCAAATATACTGCCACACCTTTGAATAACTACCACTAAAGGCCTGTCACCTTTGGATCCGATAAACACCCGTGAATAGTTCTCTCGGGCACCTCTAGAACAAATTCGTTCTCAGTACTTCTCGTCCATTGTCGTCTCTCGGGCTTCTCCCTTCCATTATCGTGTACTACTCGTGAGGATTTCATCGTTCTTCTCGAGGCAAATGTTCACGTGCTGTGCACCTGCTACTTCCCATAATCAGAGCCCTATATTAAGAGCACCTGCACTGCTTTCGCAGGGTTTCTCTTTCGCCTTTATTCTTCATCCAAAGCAACGCCTTTCTTCATAGTTCACTCACTCCATTATTTCTGAACCGTATCGTGCCCCATCGAGAGTCTCCGAGCCAAAGACATGGACACCAAGGTTAAAAGTACATCCGCCGAACCCTCGAAACCGCTGCCGCGTCCCACGAGACCGGCTCCGAAGCCGCCGGGGACTCCCAAACTCTAGGCGTTTCAGCTCGGGCTGGACAGCGTATCTTGGGGGGGGGGGGGTTTTCTTGGGCGAAGGATGGTGATTGAAGGGTATTGAACCTTGATCGAGTTGCAGATGAAGGTGGTTGAACGCGTCTCAGTGGATTTGGATGGGAAGCATGCTGTGAATAAGGGAGAGACATGGCAGTGCAGTCTAATTGACCAGAGCTTAACCTCTACGCGGGTCGAAAGTGACCCAATGCATTAAAACGGCCAGCTCCTCACCAACCACTTGAGTAGTCCCCGCGTTGATGTGATGAGACGATATTTATAGAGAACCTACTTGCAACATCAATCCTCCATTTCCTTCCCCTCACTCTCGTCGTCATCATGCCCTACCAACGTCCCCTCCGTACCCGTCCGTATGCCCATTTCAATCTTCACAAACCCCTGCTCCATCGCTTCATCCTCTCGAGCTTGCTCATCCGTCCCCACAGCTACCCTTTCGCTTCCGAATCCCTCGGAAAGATCTGCCATGGCGAGCTCATCTGCTACAGCAACCGGGCGGCCTCTAACGTGAGTGCATCGGCCTTGCTCTTCATCTGGTATGTGTCAGCAGGCTCATCAATGAAGGAACGGACGGAAGGAAGGAAGAACGGAGCCCCACGTGCCCTCTTCATGCCTCAGCCTCCTCACTCTGCCTTGCCGAAGCGCAGTGATGCCGATGAAGAACATGACTACCCCGAAAAGGATCGTGCCGATGGAGTCAGGCCCCCATTGATTCTGATTGAAGCCACCGAAATGGAAGGCTGTGGGCTGCGGCAGGTGTGAGGGTTTCAAACTTGGGGACAATGTGAACGAGGCGTTCAGGACCGGATGAGAGGTCATCGCGACTTTCTTCGGAGTGTCAAGGAGGCCTCTGTCAGCGGTTTGCGGGAGGGTTTGGGTGTAGGTAGGGGAGCAGTAGGAGTGGAAGAGCAGCTAGGAGGACTCGCAGAAGACTGGGGTTCGGGAGGCAAGGCTACCTTCTTGTACTCCCAGTGGGCGCATAGGGACCAGCTGGTGGCAGATGCACGCCAGCGTCGCGTACGCTCAGAGACCGAGTTCCTGAGTGCAAGTCGCAAGCGAAGTCGCGTTGGCAAGCTACGGATGAGATATGTCGCAGGGTCTGTCGCTTGTCACGCTTACCGGGCTCGCGTCGCCTGACAATGACAATGACAGAGAGCGCGTAATTGCAAAAGAATGGGACACGTTCGGAGCGTATTCGATGTAAATCAAATGCAACGCAATACCTCCAGAATTTGTATATCATCGTTACTCGTAAGCTGCCGTAAGAGCACCGCTAAGAGGTTTCCTGTCCATTTCTATCACTTCGGTCAAACCCCTTGGGCGAGCAAAATAACAAAGCGGAACTTTAGAGCCAAATCTTCCCACCCGTAATCCACATCTCGATACTTGCGTTCGTGTTATTCGCGCCTGGGCCAAAATGATTTAGTGAAGTCCAGAGAAGTTTGTGACAATACAAGATACGAGGTTAAGATGGAATTTGAGACAATAGAAAACAACGATCGGTCTTAGGCCATTTTGTTGGTATACATGCCACACATACTGTAAAGGCGCATTCACACGAAGCTGCAGACTTAGCAAAATCAGGTACAAAGGTACAATGTAACATCATGCCGGGCAAAACGGCTAATACAATACATGACGTTACAGGCTCAACGAAACAGCATGGGGGCAAATGAAGACGCTCCTCACCTCGCACCGAATGGGCCTTTCGGCCTCTCCGCTAGCTTGCTCAAGCGTTGCGCGAATTGAGTATGCGTTCCAAGCTTTGAGAATTTCGTGTGAAGCTTCGCCTTTTGTATAGCATCGCGCACGACTGTATTGGTCGTCTTAGTTGGAAGACACAGCACTGGCCAGGGGAATTGTTTTGCGGAGATCTCTGCGATGAAACAGTACCATGCCACAAAGTCTGCAACGTCATCATGACCTTTCTTATATACGTGTTGCAGTGTCGGTGCCAGTCCATCGGTTTGTTCATGCATGTTGGCCCCTGCCGCAAGTAGAAGCTTGACAGTTTCGAGATGTCCATTCTCTAGTGCTGCTTGCAGTGCAATACATCGAGTACTCCCCTCGCTCTTAAAGTCTGCTCCTCTTTCAAGAAGAAATCGAACAATATCACTGTAGCCGTTAGAGGCTGCAAGATCAAGTGCTGTGATTCCCTCAGAAGTACGCAGATTGATGTCCGAGTATCTGGTCGAGCAAGACCATAAGTGTCCTATGTGCGCCTTTACTGAGTCCCTCGTGTCGATATCCCAAAGCATGCTATCTGTTTTCCCCTCGTTCGTTGCTAAGTCTTTTGTCCAAGACTGATAGTATGGTTGTTGCACGATCGAGTCATATAGCTCCAACTCCCTCATGGAAGGATCGCGGCCATCAACCAGGTACTTGACAACATGTATATATCCATGAACTGCTGCTATATGTAGAGGTGTCTCATGGGTTTTTGGTATGATTGAATTCACGTTCGAGTTGTAGCTCATCAACAATTTCACCAGATCCAATCTGCCAGACTCCGCAGCAACATGTAGCAAAGTTTTCCCCGAGTCGATTTCAACGACGTCTACCTTAGAGCCGCACTCCAGAAGTGATTGGACCGCGTCTGTAAGTCCCCGAGCTACAGCGAGGTGAATCATTTCTACTGAATTATAGCTCGCTCTAGATGCAGAATGCGCGACCCCTCGCAAAATGATGTTTGCAGCCTCCGAGTGTCCACCTCCTACTGCAATAGCGAGCGGCGTTTCACAAAGAACGCAAGACCCACCCTTTGGGTCCATACCCATCTCCAGGCACAGTTGAGTTAGAGACATCAGACCATACGAAGCGGAAATTCGAAGGGTAGTATGAGCAATCTGGATGGAACGTCCACTGTTGGGTATTGAGAAAGACTGGCAATCGTAGTCAAGCCTGATAATTAGACAGCGCTGCAGTGTGCCGGCAAGAACCCTGCTGTAAGTCTCGGACAGACGATAATGGACAGACCAATTGGCAGCTGCATATCTAGTCAAGGTCGAGGTCATCCCTCCACACAGCTGCTGTGCGGTTTTTATGTTGGTCAAAGCGGGAGATGATTCCGCCCTTAAGAGTGAGCTCAGCAGTACCAAACAAGCCCGCGCAAGACGTTCGTGGGCTGCGAGTACCAGATGACGAGGATGGTTCGGCGACTCATCTGCAAAAAGAAGGTAGTCTCGCAAAGTTGGGTGTCTCAGTCTAACAATGCGTTCCTCGGTAATGGTCACAAGCCATCCGCAAATGCGGTAGATTTCAGCTTGTGAATTGGGTAGGCTTAGCTCGTCGCCAGTTGATGGCGGCTGCTCAGGAAGTTGAGATTGTCCAGCTTTGATCGCCAAAGCCTCTAGAAGTTCCGGAAGGTACAGAGGCCGACTAGCAACTGTTAGCCAGGAGAAAATTTTCTGGGCCGTCTCAACATCCTGCAATGGGATTTGTTGCAGCGCCCTTTGGTAGAATGCATCAATGCTAGCTGGTAATGAGTTGACCAATTGTGGCAAATTTAGGTGAGATTCCGTCCGTTGGATTTGCTCAATGGCCAATGCCAGCCACAAAAAAGTTCCGTTGGCGCGCGAGCACAGCTGCTTCGCGAGAGCCAAGGTATGCACGGTTTTTTTCGTGGAAGTCCCGAAGATATTGGCCAATCGAATTCTGGCAAAGTTCAACATGTCCTGCTGAAGTCCTGGCTCAGCGCTCAAGTCAATCTGGATAATATCCTCAGGGCTGATCCTAGCCTCGCACCTAGACCGACTTGATATAAGACATCTGAGAATGTGTGATTTCTCCCTTGACCTGTTGGCTCGGAGGATCTCGTGCATGAGGACTTTTTTGATTGATTCATCATCGTCGAGACCGTCAAGTATCAAGAACACTTGTACATGAGTGTTTACACTTACTATAAGTCCCCTAAGTTTGCGCTGAAATTGTTCCAGCGACATTGGATCCGTAAGCTTCTCGCTTTCTCTGATGACCGATTGCAGCAGGCGTTCTAGCACGATGGATCGCATACATCCTCTTAGTTGATAAGCGAATGCCTTCAATATGTATCGCGCCGAGCTGACTTGGCCTTGGCGTGAGTCAAAGAAGCAGAAAGCCAATGCGCATCTCTGCTCCTGTCGTTGCTGTAGGTTTTCAATTATTGCCGAGCAAAGCATGGATTTGCCTGCCCCAGGCCGACCTTTGAGCCACAGCAGAGGGTTCTCGGCTTCATTCGCCCATTTTCGGTATGCTTGAAGATTGACCAACCACTCGCAGCTGGTCGCGAATCGTTGCCTTAACCACATCTGCAGAAGTGACTGTTCGGTCTGGAGGAACCTGCGATGATCGTCTTGACTTCTCGCTGCTTCTATAAACATTGAGCCTTTGCTTACCCGCATTTTGAGATGTCCGTACCTTCGCTCAAATGATAAATCGAGCGCTCGACATTGGCTCTTATAACGTCTTGCGGTAGCGTCTTGGGAATGAAGTAGTGGTTTTCGGCACTCTCTGAAAGCCAAGATTGAGGGACCATAGACCACAAGCAATGGTGATGGAGTACCTGACATGACCGTAAGCTTGAATGGAAAGCAAACCGAGGCTCGCAAAGATATCACTACAATATCAGAAAAGCAAATACGAACCTTGGCTCCGGGACATGGAGTTGATGTCTCCTGACAAAAAAAAACCCGTATGTATGGCCGATCAGGCCTACAGCTTTCTCGAGCGAATCGGGCTGATTGCCCATCGACGTCTGCGATCTGTCGCATTTGAGGTGTCGAGTGCGTGCGGTTCGAGCGATCTAATGTCTCTAGCAGGCTTGCAATCGAGCTTTGCACAGGGCTGGCGTGAGGAGAGCCGAGGAAAATCTATGGCAGTCTTAGCTCCAATTTTTGGCTTCCTGTGTTCGGCATGTTTGGGGTCAGACTATTCCGTATGTTTCCCTAGATAATGCATGCAATTCTTCCTCTGACTCACTCAAGAGCAAAGCCTGTAAGGAAGTCAATGATGCTCAGCTTCACGAGAACTCTGCGTCATACTTCCTCTACCACAAGACCGCCGAGACCCTGGCAGACAAAGAGCAGGGGTCGAGGGAGACCATCGCCTTCGTCTATAGCGTTCTCAGATGAATCTATCAACGGCTTGACCAGCGAATGTGTTTCGAGCTTTGCCCACTCGGACAACAAACCATGCGCTGCATGGTTTACAACTTCGACTGGAGAGTCCCGAGAGCTTTGATCATGATATCTGTAGTATAGAGATCGCGTCTTTATGGAATGTCTTGGGAAAGCCTCCTTGAACCATTCTGAATGGCCAAAAGATTCTTCCCAATCTTGGAGATTCTGCTCTATCGGATTCTCAACAAAAATGATGCTATTTGAATGGTGAGTATGACAAAGGTTGAGACGGAGATAACAACATACTCGACAACAACATCTTCATTGCTCTGCATTTCCACAAACTCAGCCATAAGGACGACTGCCACAAGGCTGTAGAAAAACTGGACGGAGGCCGAGACATATATTCACAGTGGTGTAAGGATCACACACTGCTCGGCAAGGGATTGGATAGTGATGAAAGTACCTTAGTCTTGAATCGAGTTCTTAGCTACGGTAAGCGCCCCATAAAAGACGTACGCAGAACCGGCACCTTCTGCAGCCTTGCACTGATGGGTGTAGCCTTGCGCACGATGTAAGCCTGTACACACCAACGCCCCGTTTTGCCTGCGCAAAAATACGTCATGCTCTGTGTCCCAGTGGTCAATCTGAGGCGCAATAAGCAAGCGAGGAAGCGAAAATACGCGACCATGCAGGAGATCGGTAGGAGATAGGCGATGCACATGCGAAGCGAAAGGAGCAGCGGGCTTTCATCGCAACGTCTAACTAAGATGAGAGAAAGTGCTTGAGATCGACGCGTGTACCATTTGCATCAAGTTAAGTGCCTCATGTAATGACAATGACATGTTTGAGCACTAGAGCGACTCGGAGCAACGGCCTACGAGACTTGATCCACTGGATAGACATCTCGCAAGATTTGACCCAGCGCTCGCTGCCCCTACAAGCGTGACATTTCTTAGGCAGCTCTGGTATATGTAAGAGCCTCATTTTAGAGGGTAGTACTTCACAAAACCACAGCCTTCCCTTCAAGACTCAGGCTGCATTCTCTCCCAAATTCTCAGCCTTCTCTTTTTCTTCATCTTTATCCTGCTCCATATCACAACCAAAATGTGGCCATGTATAACAGCCTTGGACCAGAGACAAATACGCGGGACACGCAGAAGTGTAGCGTCTGCCGACATCGAAGGAAAAAGGTGAGAAGAGCCGGGCCGGGATTTATCCGAGACAGTAAAAATCGGTGACTAATTCTCTGCTGTTCTCGCAGTGCAGTCCACATGACCGCGACTGGGAGAACAGTCAGCAGAGGTGCCACTTCTGCGAGACCCATGCCCTACCGTGTGGACCAAATGTGAGGTATAGCGAGGACCCTGCAGTCATCCGGCGGCGTGAGGTGGTGTTTGAGAATGCAAATGCGGGCCGCAGCAGTCAAGCAGGAGAAAGACACTCAGAAGGACCAACAGCGCGGTCAGCGCTAAACTTTCCTGCTCCTGCCACGCGTCATAGAAGAGGAAGAAACGTGGGCCCGCCGGATGCTGGTAGCGCCGAAGATGGGAGAGAGCCATTTGGCACTGAGTCCATCGCGGACCTTGAGGAGAAGGCTTTCTCAAGGTACGACCTTGCCAGCGTTGAAAGTACCCATTGAAATATACTGATTCGTGCATCTGTTCTCAGGTTTGACGACTTCCACGCTCTAGGAACCACTTTAGTATACGTAACTCAGCCCTCGTGGGTCTACTGTCCCTCTCATCGAGCTCAACAACCGTATCATGACTTGTCGATCGAAGAAAAACTACATGAGCTTTTTATAAACATATATGACATCGCTGTCGAAGCTAGAGACCGAAATGAATCTCACCTGGCCCGATGGATACTCTTCGACCTTGTATTCGCTTTGGACCAGTACCGGTTGTTCGACACACGGAAACGAAATATCTTGTTGAAGATGGCACGTATGTTTCAAGAGCTGCGTCATCCATGGCATTATGCACATGTCCTCTTAAAGATCGCCGGCATGTACAAAGGGTCAGCGTTGCCTACTCAGGAAGGCCGTTTGTTGGCCGAATCTTCCCACCTGTTGGCCGAATCATTCCCCACCTCTTCAATGTCTATCAGGCGTGTCCTCGTAGATCGTTGGAATGAGACAGTTGGTGGTATTCATGTTGACTCGAACCTGAATGTGCCACCTCTACATGCCGCCGTACAACATCGAAACCCGAGCATCATCCTGGCACTCTTGTCCAACCCCAATGACTGTAGCTCCACGCCGCTAGCCCCGCCCCTGACTATGCCATCGAGGGTTGGCCAAGTGAGAGCCGACATAGAAGAAAGGGATCTTAACAGTCGGACTGCTCTGTTTGCGGCAGTCGCCAATGGAGACGAGTCTTGTTGCTCTGCTCTACTTTATCACGGGGCCGACGCCAACATTCGTGATGACCATGGGCACACTGCTCTCGAGGTGGCAGTCAGAGGAAGCTATCTCAACATTGTGGACCTCCTAATCTATTACAAGGCGCTTGTGAATCCTGATATCACAGGTTGCTCGTCTCTGCCATTGCACGCCGCCATCGAGAGCAGCAATTTGAGCAGCAACTTGCAGCTTACGATCATCCACAACCTACTGAAGTCCGGTGCCGAGGCCTATCTTCGAAGACACGCGGACAACAAGCACGCGATAGATCTTGCTGTTGACCGAGGAGAGCACGAGCTGGCAGAAAGCATACGCCAGAAGGTCCCCAGCCTGAGCCAGAGCCACACTGCTTTCATGGGCCAAATCAACTCCTAGGCCGGAGGCCGCACGTAGATCTATGTCATCATATTACCGAACCTAATTGTCGTCACCGGAGTGTTCCTATGCGACTTATGTATAGACTGCTTGTCGAATTCAAATCTGACGGATTAGGAATATTATTTCTTACGAGCCCCACGATTCTTACGAGCTCTACGTTTACGACTATATTTCAATGACAACATTAGGTGGCTAGCAGTCCTAGGTTTGGCCGTCTCAGCGCTGGGTTTTGATGCAATGATGCAAACATCCGCAGCGAATTTCTTTAATGTATATTCAGCCGTTAGAATCTCGTGCCAGACAGCGTTGGAAGATTCTTTGGTCTAGTCCGCTTAGAAATCCTAGAGGCCTTTCGAGGGTACGGCTCACGCATAACAACAGCGACTAAGTTCCACTGTCAAATAACTATTCAAGAGGTACTGATATATAAAAGCACGAACCAATAAAATGTCTCGCAGACTGCGCCAACCGCGGTATCCATGCTATCGGTTTGGATTCGTTACTTTCGCGATTCTGAGTTACGCGTTTACCTTCTTTCTTGTCAGGACGGGTTTGCCTACCGGGGAAGTATTCGAAACCTGATGACATTGTGCTTGGATTTGGGCATTCTCACCGGCTCAAAGCACTGCCATTGTTACAATTAAGCAACTTGCGTAGAGGGGGACAATTCTAAAAGCTTCCTCTCCATCTTGGACACACTTGTATTGGTATCAACCAGAACAGGTTGAGCGTTCATCTCAAGGAACTCAACTATGATGCTTGTTTGAGGCAGGCAAAAGGGCGATCATGAGAGCGGTAATTGAATCTCCCTCTAATTCTAGATACCTATGACTACATAAGACTGATCATAACAGGTTACGGAATACGTCTCATCCGGAAGCTGCAACTATGCACCTCTGGCTTTGACTGTGGCAATGGTGTTTCCGAACGGATTTGGAGTGGCATGACCCAGCATGAGATCTTTGCGATTCGGCACACACAGCGGCTTACCATCAAAGGGCTCGAAATCGAACGCCATCAAGAGGGTTCCGACGGCTCCGGGCACTATCGTGCGAGCAAAATGGCGTCCCAGGCAGATGTTGCCGCCGCCTCCGAACGCTCGGAAGATGTCGGGCATCTGAGTCTCGGGATAACGCACGCCCAGGAACCGATTCGGGATGAATTTGTCGGCATCCTTGTAGGAGCTGGAGGAGGTGCGGATGGCGACGCCTGAACCCCAGATGAAGTTGCCCTTGCGGAGGAAGTACTCGGTGTTGTCCTCCTCAGTTGTCAGGGGATAGTCCTGCTCGATCCGACGGATTGTCACGCCCACGGCAGTCCATCGCAGTACTTCGTGGAACGTGGACAGTAGAAGGGGGCAATCTCTGCCTATTCGTAGAGTGTCAACAGACCTTCGGCCTTGGTCGTCGTGCTTCGTTACATGTTCATCAAGTTCGCTTCGAATGCGTGCCAGGAGTTCAGGGTCGTGAAGGATGAAGGATAGGATGGCAAAGGTAACAGTGGCCGAGTTATCGGACTGTCCAACACTTTGGGACATCGCCATGCGAGCCAGTTCGCGCCGGTCCAGCCTAGTCTTCTCGAGAACTTTTGCGCGGTCTCGTGCCAGGCGGCCTGCGGTCTCGAACCCGCCATTCTCATCATACTCGACAAATGCATCAACAACTTTCTCGCGCGCTTCGGCTCCACGACGGGCGAAGATACGAGGGAAATTGTACTTCAAAAAAATGTAACTTTGGTTGAATGTCCAGAATTGTTCCCATTAGATAGGATTGTTGCAGTATGGACTCTTTGGACCCCAGACGCCTCCCGACACGGAGACTGTGATCGACATGCGCAGCCACTCCCAAAGATCCACTTTTCCATGACCACTCTTGACGGACGCCATGAGTGACTAAATGAACGGAGCCCATGCTGCGACGAAGTCTTCCTGCATGGCGTCTAGACTAGTTCCAAGTGACATGGCCCTCAATTCAACTTTATGATAATCGTGAACGAAGCCAAGGCCATTCCCCACGTCGGCACGATCGACACCCTTGAATAGAAGCCGGTGGCTTTCTTGGGCTGACCGCCCATATTCGCCATGACGAGAACCGAAATCCATCCCAAGCCCGTATACTTTGACCTTGATTGTATGACTTGAGTCATTTCGGGAGAATTGACAACATAAATATGCCAGCCGAGAACGGCGACGGTGAAGATTCCATGGGTCACCTTATGCATGTTCTCGGCGGCTAAAGTGTCAAGGATATGAGTTCCATGTGGCAAGGATTTCCAGACGCTGCCCTGCACCAACGGGGGTTCTCGCTGCTGAGTGGTTTCCGAACGAATTTGTTTCGGTCTTATAAGATTGACAAGACTGGCAACCGCAACCGCGAAAATCAACAGGTACTAGTACGTTGCCATCTTGGCAGGCGAGGAACTGACTGAAAGCCAGATAAGACGAAAGAAGCAGAGTACACGTTGCCTGGGGTCAGTTACATTTCTCGAGGTTCGATGTGCGCAGGAACTTCTGGAGCTGCCCGTTGCTGACAGATGTGCTCCTCTGGGACAGCCCATTGTGAATGGATGTGTTTAGCTGGGATAGCCCGTTGTAGATAGATGTGCTCATCTTCAATGGCAAAATCTCAAGGCGAGCTCGCAACCCCGGATACTCAGTGTCTTGTTCGTGGTGGAAAACGAGCAGACGTACTTGGATATCTCGTCGAGGGAAGATAAGGTATAGACAGATTAGATAAATCGATATCCGACCTTCCTATCAAACTGGCCTTTCAGGCGATGATAAGCATTGGTCTAGTAGCTGAGATGTTGCATGGATAGTCAAGGCAGGGGATACGTCAATGCTCTTCATATGTCACGTCGTCTCCGATTCCCACGACTGAAGATTGAGTGGCTATCGAAGCTTAGGGTCTCCACCGCTCAGACCCTGCAGAAGCCTCAAACATATCCCTTTCTCTAGTTTCCAAATCGTGGAACTGGGCGCTGGTGCACGTGCCGCTGGATTGAGGGGGCGCACAGTAGTGAGTAGTGGTTCCTCCATAACCTCGCTCGCAATCAATACTCATGTAAGCTGCGGACGGGAGAGTGATAAGGTAGGTAGTCAGAGAATACTTATGCAATTGACCGTGGGCCCACTATTCCCTACGCTATGATCATGGCTACCTTACTTCCATGAACTCCCTGGGCGCTACAGCAAGGTATCCTCATGATCCTGTCAGCTGGCAAATTTCGTGTAAGATGTCTTGACAGCTAGGGCTAAGCCCTAGTATTTTACACGGTGACATCTTTCAACGGTCTTTTGGTTAGGTCAATCACCGAAAATAATACTTCAGCCTTTCCAAGTTCAGTCTTAATCTTGGAGGCATCATGTCCGGCGCGTCATCTCAGCCTGGTCACCGCCGGCCAGTATGGGGTCGAAAGAAAGACATGTTCTACATTGTCTTTCTCTTTCTGGTGGTCTTCCTCGCACTAAGTATGTAGTCCTCTTGAAACCCATCATTCTCACCTTAGCTGGCTTAAGCTCGGAGGTCAATGGTTTTCTGATCCGTTGAGGCCCACACAGCAATCGACTTCGTGCCATTGTACCCAGTAAAATTACCTTCGTGGGCGTCGGCGCTACACGACTACTATCGTATGAATTACAACGATCCTCTCTACGCGAAAGACCCGCCGTTCTTTCGGCTGTACGTCTTTATCGAAGCAATATATTCGGTTCCAACGTGCATATGGGCAATTAGAGGTCTTATCCAAGGTACTTCCCGGCTCACGGGATGGCGCCTCGAGAGTCGGGCAACTAACCGCGCTGAAAGATAACAGCATGGTTCCGGTGTATCTACTCGTCTTTGCGACGCATCTGGTAACATCCACCCTCGTTTGTTTCGTGGAAGTGTTGGCTACAAAGGACTGGCCGAAGGAAGACATCAACAAGAATCTCCCTGGATATGTGATTTTCTTCGCCGTTGGTAAGTCTCACCTTTGCCGGCAGCCAGTGACTCATGATAATCTTGGCCTAGCGTCTGTCTTGTGGGTGGACATGTTCTCGCGCGTAAAAACAGCCTTGAAAGGGAAAACGAAGTTGAGTTGAGTGAGTTATCAAATCCCAGAGGGAGGGTTGCTGTCGTCTACCGGGTAGGTCACCAGCCTAAGCGATCGTGAAAAGACCACATTTGTAATGCGGAAGGATCGGCAACCGGCCATTTTTACGGTTGGAAAAGTCTAGGCGACAAGGAAACGCCAACAGGCTCCACCAGGCTGAAGTGGTCGAAGCAGCTTAGAGAAATAGTTGTAATGCGAGTGTCCTGTCGTGCAAATCGAGGTAATTTTGATCGATGTCGCTTCGAACGAACGCTGCATCAGATCTTCTCAAGATCATACATTTACAGGGCAATAGTAATGACATCCTAAGTCATCTATCAAGAACTTGTTTCCTTCTTGACGCTCCTCCACTCCATACCTACCGCAAGCACAAATCCAAGGATCGAAAGCCCTATAGGAAGCCAAAATGTTCCAGCAATGGCTCCATTATAAGCTTTCAGCACCGCTGGCAGCAGATCCTCCGGCACCTCCGAGCGGAACGCAGCTGGACCTGTTTTTGCAATCTTTCGTGTTCGAGGAGAGAGATCCTGGATTGCGGCGAGCTGGTGCTGTAAGCCATTTGTAAGGACAGCCTGCGCGACACATACGAAAATTGAAAATCCCAAGGTCTGGCCTAGCAAGACGGGTGCTGAGCCTTCTGGATGTCTTCCTTTGGCAAGACGAACGGTACCGCCACGAGTGATTGCTGCACACTGATACCAGCGCCGATGCCGAAGAGAATCTGGAAACCTGCGAATGTGCGAAAGGAAGTGTTGGTGGATGTTGTACTAAGAAAGCCTGCGCCTACTGCTTCTATCAAAGCCCCCCAAAACATGAAGGGGGTGTAGTACCCTAGCTTTTCGACGCACGCACCAGTGAGGCCGGCCGATACTGTTGTTGCGAGAACCATCGGCAGCGTGTGGACCCTGGATTTTCCGGCAGGAACCCCACGTACGACCTGAAACCTATATAGGCCGAGTGGAGCACGCCGCTGAGTATGTTGCGGTTCTTGAGTATATATCCTGGTACCATAGCTGTCGTCCGGAGATAGACTTGCGTCGCCACAAAAGCTAGAGTGAGCACTGCAGAGAGTGTTAATAAGACGATAATACGGCCGCTGTTCCACTGATAGACAAATCCGCCCCAACTGAGAGCTAAAAGGAGACATGCAACGGCAGGAGCGAAGGTCAAATTTCCACGCGGGTCCAGTTATAGAAGTTTCGGCTTGAGTCCGCTCCTTTGCTGGGCATTTTGGTCTTCCGTGTCCTGGGCCTGCTTTTGGGGGTATCGCAGAGTGAAATAGATGACAGGCGCTAACGCAACACCGATGAGGATAATAAGATAAAAACACCATCGAAATGAGATCCTGGGAGATGATGATCCCACCAAAAAGGGGCCCCAATAAAGTTCCTATTGTGAATGCTGCCGCCAGACTCCCCACGATGAACGGTTGTCGGCGCAGAGGAAAGACGTCCACGATTATTATCATGATAGTCACGAATACTCCGGCAAGCCCGAGGCTCAGTCACGGCACGTCCAGCGATGAAAGTTGGAGCCGAGGAAGCTTTGCCGCAGATCGTTTCCCCAACCAGAAAAAGGAGAAGGACGGACAGCAGGACCCATTTCGAGGGGAAAATTTCGTTAACTTTACCGAAGAACAGGATCGACGCACTTACAGCCAAGATCTCGACACTAGAGCAGAGGCCAGTATCATCAAGCGTACCAAACGTCTTAGCAAGAACGGGGGCCATTGTGTCGATGAATGTTTTTGACTGACGAGGCATGAGCAATGGGACACCGAGGAGGAATTCAAAAGGGAAAGACCATACCAGTGCCACCGTGATCAAGGCAACATAGAAAGCAATCATGATGGGTACCGCCCTTCGCCAGCCCGGTTATCGAACTTCGTCTTCTTCGTTACCTCGCACTCGTAAGAGCTTCACCCTTGCACTTCAACAACCGAATGACTGACTCCTGTGATAGCTAACAGCGGTGTATCCCCCAACTCCAATCTAGGCAGTACCTCCATGTCGCAGACCTCAGTCGAAGCATCGACCATCGCGATCGTAATCTTTCGTGCTTCAGCTTTTATCTTCTTTGCTGACACACTCCGTAATTATCCTTTACAGTCCTTATCCTCCGCTCTCTCGATCTCCCTCTTCTTACATTTATCTAGTATTTATAACTAACATTCTAGCTAGCTAGCTTAACAGAATCGCTCTTCTATAAACTATAAGTAATCGATATAATAATAATAAGAATATTAGCGTAATATTATTCGAATCGAAATTATTTTTCTCGTAATAAAGATTAATAAAATAAATATCTTATTTTATTAAATAGATTTTCTATTACTATAATATAAACTTATAATTTTATATTTAATATTATTTAAATTAAGTAATTTATTTTATAAAACGTATATTATAATATCTCGATTAATTCTAATCGTTATTTCTTTAAGCTAATAAAATTATTTTATTCTTTTTTATATCGAATATTATTTAGATATTTAAATAAGAAGTTAGTAAATAAGTTATCGATATAGATATTACGAATTAATTCTTTATACTCGATATATCTTTTTAATTAAATCTTAGCGCGTCTCTCTTTATATATATATATTTATAGATTATATAAAATAATAAATAACTTTATATTAAATTAGAATTAGTATAGAGATATAAGTTATATAAGTAAAATAGATAGAATAATAAGACGATCGAATTATATAAATGAAAAGAAGATATAATATAATAGAAGAAAAATTCGCTAAGATATTAGATTATAGAACTAAGTAGTATATTAAGAATACGCTTATAATATATTATATTAATATTAAGAATTATTTCTTAATAATAAAGTTAGCTAATAAAAGCTAAAATAAAACTTTATATTTAAATACGTAGTAAAAATCTTATATTAAGAAAGTTAAGATAAAGATATTCTTATAATATAAAGCGTTATTTATAACTATTATATCTATTTAAAGAGTTATATATAATAAGATAAAATAGATATATAGCGTTATAATAAGACTAGTAATAATCTACGTAATAGCGATATAATATATATTAAAGAAACTAAAAAAAGTCTAAAGAATATATATAAGATATCTAAAATAAAAATAAAAAATGGCTATTTTGGAAGAGTTATAACTTATAGAAGTATATAAAATATTTAATATACGCGTTCTAAAGATAGAGATAGAGATCTCTTTAATATAAATAATCTTAAATAAAGTTACTAGCTAGATTACTAGCTAGTACTATATCTAAGATTTATCTAATCTAAAGAGTATTAGATTTTCGATCTTAGTAATATCGATTTAGAAAATTAACTTTCTATCGAGATACGTAACGTCACGTTTTATGATGTCTTCGATAAGGACTCTTTTGATGCCCTTTACCGAAGAGAGTCAGTCTAATAAAGATTCTACGACTTCTTAACCATCGTGCTCTCGAACCCTTCTAGCACATCCGCGGATGTCTTTACAGTATTCCTTATATAACACGTAGGGCTCTGTAGGCAAGATCGACAAAGTTCCATACTGATCTCAAATGATGGTAATGACCTGCGGCTCGACGTCCTCAAACCATGCGAGGTTCTTCACAGCAGCTTCAAAAACTGCATAGCTACTCTCGTCCTGGTCCACTTTTGCCAGACTGAACAAACCAGCCCGACGATAAGTCGACCGAGCACCTGGACATTTGAAAAGCAAAAGCCCCGTGAACACTTGCCCCCCCTCTGTCTTGATGTCCCGAGCCCAATACCTGGCATCTTGAACCTCTAGACAGTATACATTAACAATGTTACCTACAAGAGGCCCCCGAGAGGCATAGTCCTTGCTATCGGCAACAGTTTTGGTATTGCCGGCCAACAATAACCCGTTCGAAGATTCAATTTTCTGTGTTGAAATGTTCCACTGTGCGGTTTTCAGACGGCCCCTCACTTCCAGGGAGGCCGCTAAGAGAGATCCATAGCGGTCGCTACTGATATCGTGTTGAATTTCATAGTCCAGGATTTCCAAACGAATATCAGCTGGCGCTATAGCGAAGGTCGGAAGCATGAACGAGCTTTCAATGGAAACCCACGACCAAGACGGACCGATGAATTTGTTCAGCCTCGACTTAGGTTGTGTATACAGGTGAAGTTTCCACAGTAGCTGCTGTGCTAGGTTTGTCGTCCACAGACCCGCAACATAATCCCCTATCCCTGGAAACTCCCGACGAAGTTCTTTCGCAACACTCGCTAGCGCAGGGAGGCGATCCAGAGGGTCTGAAAGCGTGCGCTCGCTGAACGCCTGGGATAAAGTGTACCAGCGTTGAATTTGCAGGTTTACGTCGTCATTCTTGATATTTGAGCAATTAAGGTTCCATTTGTCCCAGGAGCGATCAGTCACGCTCTCATCGATCATATTGACACTATAAGAGCTACTAGATCCGGCGAACAAGTGTGACTCCCGACATACCCAGTCGATTCTTCCGGGGTGAAAGAACAGCAGACGAGTGGACAGCAGCCGCTCCTGCATAGTCCAACCTCGAGTCTCGATTGGGAATCTTGGTGCATCGAGTTGCTTCTTGATTAGATATATGGAACCTTGCCTGCCACTAGAGGTGTTGTCGCGGAAACACTGGAAGGGTAGAGTCACGTTCTCGAATGTTTCAGATAAGAAACCTTCGTCACTTCCCAGGGAGAATGCCGGTATGATAGTCAATGCAGCACTCCGATACACCTCCCCCATCGTCTTGATTTGTTCAAGCTTGTCTTGCGGATCATCCTGAATAATGCAGAGCACATCGACCCAGAGCCAACGGATACCAATAACCCTGCATACCAACACAGCGTCTCTGAGGGTACCAGGAAGGTCTTCGAACTCTATCCTAACCATTCTGGCCTCTAGACTGTCCTTGGTTGTCATGAATCGCTGAGGACCGCCCCACATATAGCTGAGAGCGGCATATTCCGGTAAACTTGGCACAGAACTTTCATGGCAAGCTTGCAATTTCAGATGATTGACCTCGCCTCCGCCAACTTGTAGCAGTCGTTGCGGCCGATACGCTGGCCGCTGGTAATCTGAATGGTTTTGTCGACAAGTAAATTGCCAGTTCTTAATCATAGCTGCTGTATCGCCGCTGAGCATTAATGGTTGGAGTATCCTCCCAGGGACATCGATTGCAGCCGGATCATCTACTATGTTAGCCTCGGAGACCAAGTTCTTCAGGATCTCGTACCTGGACTGGTGACGACTTGGCATTTCCATCCCAGAAGCTCTCCATATTGCCTGGCTGCAGAGCGAAGGCTGCGAGTGTCCGGTTGTGGTCTCGTAGGAAGACTTGCCACGCTCAGCATGTATGAAGAATCGATGTTGTCATCGAAAAGGATGGCGATCCTTGAATTGGGGTTGTTGTCGAAGTAACCTTGTGGCCAGCGACACTTCTCAATTAGGGTTTTGAAGAAGTTGCATGGATTTGCCCCGCTGGAAAACTCGAGCAAGCTTGATACAGGAAGCTCAAAACTTTTCTGGTACTCAGTGATCGGACGACTGTTCAGAAGAATCGAATTACATCTGCTGCAAGTATGAACATCACTCATTGTATCCAAAGTATTGTGAATTGAGGAGCATTTGAGTCCAGTGTCTTAGCCAGCAGCTTTTACAGATGCCTTCTGTACTATTAGCTGCATATGTCATGACGGGACGCGGGATGACAGCCAAGTGACTTTCTTACTAGATGATCAATGACCTCTGAGATGTTTTGAGCGTGAGACCTTTCATTAGAAGATGCTATTGATAGATCGAATCTTCTTCGCTGCTCCTCATTGCTTTCTCGCGCCCGCCCTACACTCCCATTCTGATGCACATTATTCTGTGATCCAGGCGGTCGATATAACTGTTAGAGATTTGACTAGGTACTTAAGGTATCAGTTACCTGCGTGAAAGAGAAACGTGATACTTTTTGACGAGTGGGGATCAGGCAGCATCTTACCTATACGAGAGGCTACGCTGCGCAACGGGGCCGACCTAGGGCGGGGTTTAAACGAGGTAATTATGAATTGCAAATTAAATAAGAATACTTGGCAAAGCTGATTTAGCTCCGCCTCCGACTTTTTGTTAGCGCCATTTATAGAAAATTGTAGAGAACGTACTTACTATTCTTATACTAGCTTACTCTTACTAGTATACTTATACTCTAAAATAATTAAATTAGAAAGAAGATTATAGAGAAGATAAAGGATTTTAATTAATATTACGTAGTATTTTATTATAATTACTCTATTATCTCCATAGTCAAATACTTTAAATCTCATTTAAATATCTTAATTTCGCCGTTAAATATATAGTCTATAATACTTTACTTAAAATACTCTATCGTAAATCTATTATAGTTACTAATATTAATTATATACTTTAAAAACGACTTTAGATCGTTAATAAGATTTAAGTAAGAGTTAAGTACGCTAGCGTATAGAGAAATTCTTTCTAAATAATAGTATCGCGTTTAAAGTAAGAGCTAGCGATATAACTATTATACGCTTAAGTTAGAGATAAAATATTAGAAAAAGCGTATATACTTATTAGCTTCGATATTATAAATATTTAACTAAGATAATAGATAACAGTAACTATTATAAGAGTAATAAGTATATTCTTTATAATTTTCTATAAATAACGCTAATAAAAAGTCGAAGATAGAGCTAGATTAGCTTTATTAAGTATTCTTATTTAATTTATAATTTATAAAAGGCGAGGTTAAGGCGGGGTTTTCTTGATAAAATTTCGTGGAAATTTTATCATCTCGCTTTCACTATACTATAAATGAGATTAAGATTTTAAATTTAATTAATTTATACTCTTATAGAAATACTCGAATTATTTAAATATAATTATTTAAAATTAATAAGTTTAAAAATCTCTTTATATCTTTTTATTTATTTTATTAATTATTAAATTATATTATATTATATTATATTATAGCTCTTAAATTATTATCGAATTAATTTTAATAATAAGAGATTTTTTTTTCGTAAATATTTATATAATATTTTTTTTAGAATTATATATTTTATTTTAAATAAAAAATAAGTTTAAAAAAGAGAGATCTATTTTTTTCGAATTTAAAATTTAAAATATTTTATAGATAAATTTAATATAAGTAATATTAATATATAATATTAAATTAAATTAATATAAATTAAAATTTTAAAATTAATAATTAATATAGAGAAAAACTTATATTAATATATATTACTTTCGCGATTCTTTTTTAAAATAAATTATATAAATTATATAAATTATATAAAACTTCTATATTATAAATATAAATATTTATAAGATAGTAAGATCTCTTTTAATAAAACTGCGTAGCAACTATGCAATTACGAGGTCTAGATGCGTAGTTGATAGAATAGATAGATTAGTTGCTAGATGAATTAATAACTAAAAAAAAAAGAAAGAGAAAGAAGATTCGTAAGTATTTAAGACTTTGCTAAGTATATTAGATACTCGCCTTAGCTGCGTAGCTTACAGTCTGACAAGCGACGTAAGCGAGCCTATTAGTTCGCTCCGAGTACTTTTACTCTTACAATAATTCTTTTAAAAGTTTATTATATTTTCGATTTTTTTTAAATATTTAATCTTTTTTTTAATAGAGTTAATTATATTTTACTATTAGTATATATAAAAGAATAAGATAGAGCTAAGCTTGAAAATCTTAAATTTATATATATAGTTAATTATAAATTTAGAGTTATTACGCCTTTTAACTAGACTAACTAAGTTAGCTCGCTAGTCCTCTTAAGCTTTCTTATTAAAAATTTATATATAGAAGTTTTATACTCTAAAATAACTAGCTCTCTACGAATGCTATTTCTTTATAATTTCGTAAATTATAGAGCTTAATATACGCTTTCTAACGCTATAAAAATAATAAAGTTTAATCTACTATTAATAAATTAAATGAATATTTAAATATAATAGTTATAGTAGTTATATTAAACGCGTTCGAGATTAAATAATAATTCTTTTATCTATTTATATAACTATTCTTCTTCTATAATTCTATTAATTTATTAATTATAAATAAATTCGCCCTTAATACCCCTCGCTTAAATATTATTGAATATCTAAGATATGTATTTCTTTTACCTATCTTTTAAACCCCCTATTAACGCCTTTAGATTATTTTTTAACGAATTTATTATTATTAGTAATTAAGATCGTAAGCGAGTTTAATTATCTATTACTATTTATAAACGCGTTAAAAGACTCTTAAAGAGTCTAAATGAATATATTCTTCTCTATATACTCCTTTTAAGCTAGCGATAATATCTTTTAACTTAATAATACTATCTCTTAAAACGCGTCTTCCTCTTCTACTTATTTTTTATTATTCTATTTTAAAGTCTTTTAATATATATTAGATCTTAAATATTATTAAGAAAAAGCTTTTAAATAAGAGAAAGACGCTATCGAAGACTCTCTATTATAAGATCTATTAATAGACTTCTTTAATAACGATTTCGATAGCTTATATTCTTTTAACTTATCTTTTAATTCTTATTTAAATTCTACTTAGTCTCTAATAAGGCTTATTAACTATATCGCGTATTACTTATATACTATAGAGCCTATACGATATAATTTAGATCTTATAAATTATCTTTATAATCGCTATAATACGATATTATAAAAAGATAAAATAATTAAATAGTGCTGCGATAGCGAAAAGACTAAAGTCGATATATTTAAAATAGATAAGATAAACGATATAAAATAAGATTATAAGAGCGTTAAAACGAGTATAAACGATTTAATTAATCTTAGCGAGTATATTATTAATTAAATCCTTTACTCTTTAACGCTAAAGATCTCGAATCTTATTAATAATAGTAAAGAATTTCGCCGCTATAGCGTTTAGTATAATAATATAATCTCTATAATCTTATAGTAGATTATTATTAATTATTTAATCGCTTTATATATATATAAAATCTAGAAAGTAATTACTACTTATATATCTACTCTAACGTCTTTAAAAAGCGAAAAATCGATATTTAATTAAATCTATATTATAAATAATATTTAAGATTAATTTATAATACGATATAACTTTCTCTTAATCGTATTTTTTATATTAATTTTACTAGATATAATTACTATAATCGTATTAATTAGACGCTTTATTATAAAATAGCTATAAATTTTAAAAGTATTAATCTCTATATTAACGCCCTTAAATTAATATCTAAAAGATTAAAAGCTAATTCGAATATATAGGGCTATAAGCTACTCTATAAGAATTTATAATATTATAATTTATATATCTATAATTATTAGAATCGATATAGATGTAATATTAATATAGATATATTAAATAAGATAACTAGATATTAAATAGCTATATAGATAGAAGATATTAGATAATAGTAGATAGCTTTACTAAGATACGCTAGGCCTTAATAGGCTATAGAGCTAGATAATATATTAAGAAAGATATAAAATACGATTATAATACTACTTCTTCTCTCTTATAAAATTATATCCTTATAATTAATAATAAAAGAGTAATAAAAATAGTATATATATACGCTTACTTAAAAATTAATAAAATAATAAAGAACTTTTAATATTCGAGATCTTTAATATTATAATCTTCTTCGATAATAATATAAATAATAAGAGTTTATATCTCGATCTTTGCGTTAATATTATTATTAGCTAAAGATATAGCGAGTATAAAGATTTTAATTTAAAAGAAATTAATATAATAATAGACGAGTAGTAAATATAAGTATTTTAATAGATAATAATAATTTTCGAGTTAATATTTTAGCGTAAAGAATATTAATAAAATAATACGAGTTAATTAATTAAGAGGTCTTAAATTAAATTAAGTCGTAAACGTTAAACTTTAATTTAATATTAAATTAATTCGATATAAACTTCTTCGTAATAAGTTATTTAGTTAATATTAATTATATCTAGTAATAATAATAAGATTTATATATAATATAGTATAGTCTCGAAATATATTAAAAGTTATATTAATAAGTAAAGCTAGCTTAATAAATCTAAAATAAGATTATTATAAAGTAATATAGATCTAAAAAATTAAATTATAAACGCGAAGAAAATAAAGTTATTATAAAATATCGAATAATTTCAATTTATTTAAAAACGCGATATTCGAGATATTATTAAGCCTAGTAAGCTATTTACGAATATCGCTTATAGAAATCATTAATTATATCTTAACAATTTTCAAATTCGCTATCGTTC